GGCGTCCTCCATAATGGCGTCCTCCATAATGGCGTCCTCCATAATGGCGTCCTCCATGTTGGCGTCCTCCATGTTGGCGCCGTCCTTCATGACGGCATCCTCCATGTTGGCGGCGTCCTTCATGACGGCGTCCTCCATGTTGTTGCCGTCCTCCATAATGGCGTCCTCCATGTTGGCGGTGTCCTTCATGACGGCGTCCTCCATGTTGGCGTCCTCCATGTTGGCATCCTCCATGTTGGCGGCGTCCTTCATGACGGCGTCCTCCATGTTGGCGGCGTCCTTCATGACGGCGTACTCCATGTTGGCGGCGTCTTTCATGATGGCGGTCTGTGTTAGGTCTACTTGGAGCATTTGGTCCAGGTTAGCTGTAGCGTCTCGGTTTCATGATGAAGCTTCCTTGACCTTTGCCCCCACATCTTCGTGAGTCTGGCTCAGACGATGAAGCTGCTGAAGCTGAGGAGGAACGTGGTGAAGCTCTCTCTCTTCAGACACTTCAGCAACACGCTCATCTTTGCTGTCATCGGTGCGTGAACGCTTCCTCTTCCTCCTTTTCCTCTTCTTGCCTTTCTAAAGCTCTGTGTCGTTTTCAGCTTCAGTGATCTTCATCATCTGGACGGCAAAGAACTTCACCATGTCCAGGTGTCGCTCTGTAAGTAAGGAGACACCTTCTTGTCTGTTCGTCATCACCTCTCTAATGTTTTCATCCTTGCTGGTTCAGGACTGGAGGGAAGTCTGGATCCAAGACGCTTTCTGGCGCTTCCTGTTTTCCGTCATCCTATTGGTCATCATGTTCCTATGGCGACCGTCGGCCAATAATCAGATGTATGAGGCATTCTGGGGTTGGGTCATGTTTTATTCTCTGGTTTTAAGTGGACTGTGTTTGTGTGTGTTAGGTACGCCTTCAGCCCCCTGGTGGACGCTGACAGTGAGGATGAGGAGGAGAAGGAGCCCATGATGAACGAGGCTTTTGGTCAGAAACCTTCATCGTTTGTCTTCCTCAGCCCTTCCTCCTAGCCTCCAGTGAAGCTGCAGTTTGTTATGAAGTGAAGTTTTAGCTTCACCTTTAACTGCTTCCTGTTTGATTCAGGGGATCACTGGTTTTAATATTTAATAAGAAATCAGTGCACTTCCCATGATAATCCCTATTAAGTAGTTAATATGTTTATAAGAGCAGCAGATGACTGAAGTCTTGAGGCTTAGTGTGTTTCTTATATGTTGAAGCTTGTTGACCGTCTGAGTCGAGGTTCTCTGCAGACTCGAAGTGGGCGTGTCTGAAGCGTGAGCTCTGATTGGCTGGCTCCAGCAGCAGAAATCTGACAGGAAGCGTTCATCAGTGGCGACTGCTTTAAAAAGATAAACTAGAAAGTAAAAAGGTTAAGGCCAGCTGAAGTCACGTTATGCTTCGAATGATAATTTTACAGTTTTTGTGGTTTCCATCCGGGTCAGACTGTAAACATCTGGTTCTGTAGTTCTGGATTGTTGCTATGGAGACCAGATTCTGCAGCTGCAGTTCCTACAGATTTATTACTGAACGGTTCAGCACAGACAGGAAGTGAACAGGAAGCGGACCAAACTTTGGCTGTGATCCACATTTATGCCTCCGGCACCTTCAGCTGGTCCAGGAACTCTGACATGTTGAAGGTTTGCTGTTTGTTTCCCTTCAGAGGGGATGAAGATGAGGGGGACAAAGACCGAGACCAACGGGACAGCCAGACCCAACAAAGTGGTGAGCTCTGTAATGATCTTCATCACCACCTGTTCATCAGCTTCAGCTGTTTGCTAATCGAGCGGTTCTGCTGTGAACGTGTCGGGACAGGATGAAGATCTGAAGTGGGTGGAGGAGAACATCCCGTCATCGATGGCCGACATGTGAGTCGGATCCCGCTCAGTAACCCGAACCGAGCTAGCCTCCAGCTAACATCGAGCTAGCCTCCAGCTAACTGGCTCCTCTTGTTTCCACAGAGCGCTGCCCCCTCTGCTGGACTCAGACGAGGTCAGTTCCTGCTTCCTGGTGTCAGCTCTACTTCCTGGTTTCACTTCCTGGTTCTGGTATTCCAGTGTGATCAATGTTCAGTTGAGCCACTTTAACCTCTGACCTCCCAGAGGGTTACCATGGTTACCTGATGCACAGAAAAGACTTGGTGTTGTCCTGCATGTAAGCAGCAGGGGGAGCCAAACGCCCAGCAGAGGTGACTGGTTGCCATGGTTACATCATGCTTGTTGTCATGGCGATGACAGGAGGGCTGAGCTGCTGCAGCCATTAATGAGCTGAGGACCAGAACCAGAACCCAGTACTGCTGACCGACCTGGTGGATCCGGCTGAGACCAGTTCAGATCCGGTCTTCGGGTCGTCTCGTCTTCTTTGGGTCGTGAAATGAAATGAATCCGTCAGCAGGAACGTAAACTGTGTTTAATCATCGATGATGTCATTGATCCTGATTGGAGCAGACTCCATCAGTCTGTCCTCCATGTTGGTTTGTTCTGAATTAATCCTCTAACCAGCAGCCTTCATCTTGGGCTGCTTATTTTACTGATGATGATGATACGGAGTTAGTCAGGTAGACTCTGATTAGCTTCTCTGCTCTCCTGTTGGTGGTGGTTCAGTGTGAAGCATAAAGTTCTTACAAGTTATCTGATGAAGATCTGCTGTTCATGAAACGTTATTAAAAACGATCAAACCGTGCAGGCTCCTGTCAGCTCTACAGGACTGCAGACAATGCTAACAGAGATAGCATGACGGCTAACAGGCTAACATCCCGGATGAATATTAAAGTAGCTCACTATGAACCAGATCAATGAATCATATTGATCTCTCTGTTTCAGGAAACTCAGACGACAAAGTTGGAGATGTCTAAGATGGAGTGAATCGGACGGAGGTGGAGCAGATGGAGAGATGGCCGGTGTTTCTAAATGGACATGAAGAAGAAATGGAGGAGTGAAGAGTTTTTAGGGTTTTTCTCTGATTCTCTCCTGGCTTTATGAGCTTCGTAAGCCTTTCACTAGGAGCTGAATTCAATCATTCTGTGTATTTGTAATAATCTGCTTTTTGCAGCGCGGCTGCTTGCTTCCATTGTTGTTGTGCAGCGGCGCCGCCCTGCTGGACGTCTGTCGGGTTTGCTTTTATGTTTTTTGCGTTGTGAATTGGTGTTTGGATATTTTTCCTCTAAAAGCCAAAGGGACGAACCAGAGAGAGAAATCACGAGGAATTATTGACTTTTATTTTGTAAAGTTTGTCTTTGTGTTTCAACCAATAAAGTTTTCATTTTCACCTGATTCCTGCTGAAGCTTCATCCTACCTCCTCTTCCCATGGACAGAACCGGTTCTGGTCGGGCTAAACATGGCCGCCCTCCTGACCCAAACCAACATGGTGTCCGCCCGTTGCTCCACCAGCGCCACGGTAACCAGATTAATCCAGACACGCTGCAGATTCCAGGCAGGAATGATAATCAGACCGCCTGGGAAAAGAAACTATGGAAAAACATAAATGATCTGATCGGAACCGGCAGGAAGCAGGCTGAGCAGAGCAACAGATCCAAACTTTATGGCTGGAAACACGAGTTTGTTTTTAAGTCCAAAAAGAAAACCGATCTGAAAAATACTGGCAAAAATCTGCAAAGGAGGGAAAACTTTGTTCTTGGCTCGGCTCTGAGGACTCCAACCTCTCCCCCTTTCTGCCACCTGTAAATAAAACCCAGTGTGTCTGACGCCCCCTGCTGGACGGCCTTTTGTAAAACCTCTTGGAACATGGAGGTAGTTTAGCAGACCCGCGTTTATGTTTGTGATGTTTAGGACAGAAAGTCCTGCCATCTCCGCCGCCAGGCCAAGAGTTGTTGTTTTTGGATAAATAAAAAAAAAAAGAAAAAAAGTTTTGTTTTTAATTTAACCCGGATTGAAAGCGTCTCTCTTGCTGTGATCGTTTCACTGGCGGAGCAAATGTATTTCTAAAAGATGAGTTTATAGTTTGCGTTTGGCAGAGCGGACCAATCACAGCTTCGCGCTGCTGCTGCGTGACCTGAGGTTGACCTCGCCTCCTTTCACTCCAACTGGACTCAGACTGACCTGTATGGATATTTGTGAGGAATTACGATTGTTTGGAGAACTCCACGTCAAGGTGAGTTTAAAACGAACCGTGTTAGCTCTGGGTACGAAGCTCTGTGCAGTGGCGCAAAAAGTGGGTATGCACTGTATGCAACGCATGGGGGCGCTGCACTAGAGAGGCGCAAAAACGATGTGGGGATTTTTTTTTCTAGTCAGCATTTAACAGCTGTTTGTGTATGAAATGATCAGTAACAGAGGAACAGCGCTGCCATCCAGGCAGCTTGGTTCCCCTTCCAGAACGAGCCGAGGCGCGTTTTCTTCTTTTTAATTTTAATTGTAGGGCTCTGACAACAGGAAGCTAAAGATGGACGGCAGGAAAAACTCCGGAAGAGGGAGGGATAAAGATGTCGGAGAGACGAAGAAAAGCTTTTCAAAGTGGTTGAAAGACAGAAGGTAAGTAATGTCAGTGTATCAACAGGAGGGTTTTAGGCTAGCTTAACCCTCTTATGACCAACCTGTCGGCGACGACAGGATTCCGCTGATGTAATTCCCATTACCGTAATTTCTGAACAGTTCAACATATCCAAAAAAATCCAAAAGTGCAGAAAAGCTGAGACATTGCGCTTTCAGGGCATATATGATACATTACGGTAGCCACCCGGGAAAGTTTGATATGAGCTTGACCAATCACAAGAAAGATTCTCCGTTGTGTCATATTTGTCACCCAACCTACTCTGTATCGTAACTCCTGAACAGTTGATCGCATTCAAAAAATTCAAAAAGTACTAGAAAGTGCATAAAATAAGCTTTTCAACGATGTATCACATGTGCATGTTGCAGCAGATATTAGAGTAAATATTTTCGTTACAGAATTTCCCTGCCGAGCTTCATGTTGTATCAACGGAGTAGCGGTGCGAGAGAGAAAACGGCAGAGGACGAGTTGAAATCGCGCATAAAATTATGGAAATGTCTAAAAGAAAATCCACCAGACTGATAAAGGATCCCAGAAGGCTGATATCTGAAGACAGTGAACATGAGAGACATATAACCAGCGAACCAGGTTGTGTATAATATTTGTACAAGCTAACGTTAGTCATATGAATGCTGCACAGCTATTGGCTAACTGTTAGCTCCATCTTGATTCTTGCATAATTTTGCAGTAACTATTTATTATGCTGAAAATAAAATTGTGGTCTTCCAAAAATAATGTCCTAAGTAATATTTTTACCTAAAGTGATTTTGGCAAAAAGGAAAAAAATAAAAATCACCAACACTTTTTTTCTGCCAAAAGATGAATTGTGAAAACAAGAACAAATCAGCCAAGTGAGGGATTGGTGACCTGTCCAGTGTGTCCCCTGCCTCTTGCTCCTGACCACTGGAGATGGGTACCAGCACCCTCTCAGCCTGAAGTGTGATAGATAAAGTATGGATGGATCCAGAGTGGGATTTTGTCTGTAGCTGGGGAGGAACTGCTTTAGAGCCTACCACAAAAAGTGAAAACGCCTGAAATAATTTAATAAAAAACAGGCATAAAAACTTGTAAATTGGAGGCCAGGCTTCACAGTTTTCTCAGCATTTATGTAATATAGTGGAAAGTTGAAATTGTTCATCTGAAATTGTTTGCCCCTGTCATCAGGAAGTTTTTGTTCAGTAATAAACCTGAAAATTTCAATTCCGATTTTTGTTTTTTTCTCTTTAAACCGTTTGTTCACAACTTTTAATAGATAGAAATGTTAAATAACTATCAAATACTGAAAGCCGAGGTTGTTCTGGAAAAAAGAGCAAAAATTCAGACTCATTGCACATTTTTTGAGAATTTTACAGCCATAAAATCAGAAAAATACCAGGCGGCCCAGTTACAATTATGGTCTTAAGAGGGTTAAGCAAGCTATTTAAATATAAACCAGCATCAAAACTCTTTAATCTTACTAACATGTGATTTCACCTGTGAAATTTGATATGCCTATGTTAATCCACATTCAACGTTGTGTTTGAAAACAACCAACTATCATATTTAAATCTAGACCAGAACCAGAAAAACTCTTTCGTCCTACTGCCATGATAAGTTGTCACCTAGGTTACATTTATATAAAAACATTTCATTTGGAAAGACAAAAAGATGGGAAAAATGTTTGATTTCTGACATTATTTCTTGTCG